GCCCCCCCCCCCCCCCTTTCACACACACACACAAAATTTAAAAAATAAAATAAACAAAATAATTATTGGATCTCTTGCAGCTTCCATAGCCTATGAATCATACCTTAGTCACACAGCGCCCGAGGTCCGTCGGTTCATAATGCACAAGCTCATTCACCAGCTCGGTCCACAACTGTTGATGAAAATAAACTGATGTTATTATGCAAAAAAAAAAAGCTTATTTGTTTGCGAAAAGAAAAGCATTTTAGTACAATTACAGTAATTTTGTGAAGCAAAAGAGTAAGAGAGACAGACAGAATCTATAGCACGAAAGAAAATAAGTAAGACTTACCAATGGCACTCTCCAACTACTCGGGAAAAAAAAAGCAATGATGGAAAACAAACATAATTACATGAACTTATTTACCCATGAGAGAGAGAGAGAGGAAGGAAGGCCTTTCATTCTATTGATGCTCTGTACCAAATGTCAAGTGTGTGTGTTCAGGTGCGACAGTCGAGTCATTTCAGTTAATTTTCTCTTCTTTTTAGTCCAGGTCTGAAACAAACCAAACATTGGTGATCATGGTCCAACACTCAATTCTGTGCCTAGAAGCTCCAAAAAAATGTATATATTAATCCTGACCTTTTCTCCTCACTCATCTGTTCAAGTTCTCAAAGCATGTTATTCCTGGCCTGCCTCTACCTCTTTTGCCTTTTATTTTTAAGTATTTAACATCTGAATAAATATGAACCAACATTTACCTCCATGGGGCTTTTTTCTTTGTCATCATCTGGGGAAAAAACAAGGACAAAATAGATCAAGAAATGTTTACGAGCGACATCTTCGAGAAGATTTTCCTATTTCTTTCATTAGAACATGCTCGGTGCTTATTTCCTTTTTTGAAAAATACATACATTAATGGTACATGAATATTTGGATAAAGTCAAACACTTCTTATCCCTTCAACATTAATTGTACATAAACGAGACCTGATGGTTAGCTATCTTTTTCTTTATTTAATCTGAGCAGTTTCTTTGTTCCTTTTGAAAACTTAGCCTATATAGTCAGCCAGCCTTCATATATGTACTAAGCCCATATTAACTTTTTTTTCTTCGTTGTTGTTGCTGCAGTTTGATAATCTGTGGTATCTGTTGAGTGTGCTCAAGAAATATTTGGTTAAAATTTAAATTCTAAGAGTAACTAACATTTTTTCCCTCTCCTGAAAAGTTTTGTTTTTGTTGGGCCTAGTACAGCTGAACAGCTGCTGACAATCTCACTCGGCCGGTTATGTGTCCGTCAATACTGATATGTGATTTTTTAAAAATGTAAACGTTTCAACCCCTGTAAGTAAG